TCTGTTTATACACTTCTTGAACAGAATCAAGAAGGGATTCTACTAGAGGAATATCTCCTTGACGTATACGAATAACAACATGGCTTTCTGTTAACTGCAAATTAAAAATACATTAACTTGTTTATAAAAGTAATATAGAATATGAATAATTTTTTACCTGGCATAATCCTTGGACAATCAATAATTTTAAAATTACTCTATATCGTGAAATGTCTTGTGTTACTTCTCCTAATCCTTTTCTAGCTTCATCAAGTACATTACGTACATGATCTTCTCTAACCTTAAGAACTTTTAAACGGGCTTGATTCAGCATATTAGACGATTGACTACAAATAAGAAAATTTTAATCATTTAAATAAAACCTACTTCTTAAAAGTAACTAATTTCAATCTTGAAATATATTGCACAATTATTTATATTCTAGTTAAAGCTATATTTCAATATTAAACATACATCTTTTTTTGAAGTTCTACTTGTTTTTCTTTCTTTTCATAATATTCCATAATCTTAAGCCTCTGATGTTGAACTAAACGTCCTTTTTCAATATTAAATTCTTCTTCTGCTTTAGCATCAATTTCTTCTGCCTTTTCATTGGCCTCTTGCTCAATGAAGGCCATCATATGTTTAATCTATAAAAATTAACTTTAATGAAATCGCAATACTAAAATTAAGTTTAATCAAAAAGACATATCAATTAATGTTTAAAACTTTTTATATATCCCCTTATTTTTATAGAACCATACTTTGTTATTTCTATATTTAGAAATACATATAAAATTTCAGTATTAATATGCTTAGGTAGAAATTTCAAATAGAGTTTAAGCAAAATTTTAAGTAATACTGGAATTTAGGAATTAATAACTTATTTAATTGAAAAAAAAGTGATCAATTACTTATTCGATATCATTATTTAATGTTATATCATTGAAAATAATGATATGGAATATTATTTAATATTTTTATTTTGTTAGGAATTATGAATATATAAATTGAAAATACATAATGTATTACAAAAAATGAAATACTGACTTTCTTAAGAGTTTTAATTCAAAAAGAGAAACTGTTTCTATTCAAGTTTTAATTAGTTAAAGTATAAAAGAATGTCAAAATTGTTTCGTTTAAATCACTTTATTCAAACAAAAATAACTAAAGTAATTCAATACTTTAATATTCAAAGATAATTTCACATTAAAGACATTTAAAATTAATTATTGATACTGAAATGTAGTTATTTAAATTATCGTTCATTGTAAAAAAAAGGAGAGTAATATAAGAATGCAAGATTGACAAGAAGAACTGCTAAAAACAAATATTTCATCGAAGCAATAATATATAGAGTAAAATGCAAAAATAACTTAAAATCAATGTTCAAGAGGAATTTGCAAATTCTTCAATTTAAATGATTTTATACCTGCTTTTGCACATCCGCATCGCTTATTGCCATTTTGAAGTTTAAGAATTGGTTGATATTCTGCTAGTAAAGATTTTCGCGATAACTTTTTAGGTGTACGAGTTTCAAATCTAATTTTTGAAGGAGTCAACGCCTACTGACGAAAGTGTCTTCAATTAATGACGATCATATGACACACAGATAGTGCGTTCGCAAAACTGATTTATTGGGTTAAAATATATATTGAATGTGTTCTTAAAATGTACAAAAATGACCATACTATGTATTCAAAATGCTTATTTAAAAAAATATTAAATTGCAATTATAAAGTAGATTCTTTTGAAATTATACAAATATATTAGATATTTATTTGTGCAAATAAATATATTTTGTAATAACATTTTCAAAAATTAAAGAAAACT